GTGCAGTGTTCAGCCCTGCTCAGGAAAAGACTGTCTCTATCCAAATGGAATATGCAGTACATGCACGTGGAATTTGTTGGTGTGACCCAGGAGGGTCACTTTGATCTTGGAGGCTTGAGCTCTGGGAAGAAGGGATGCTGGAAAGGAGAGGCTCAGCAGGAACTGATCACCCAGATCACAATGTGCTTTTCTTCTCGCTCTTGAGCGASCAGGACAGGGTCACTGAATTGCTTGGAGAACTGTCTGTGGGTTGGGTTCTGGCAGGCTGGATTTGACTTTCAGGGTGTGTTGGGTACCAGTAGAAGACAGTTTGTTCAGCCATTCCTACCAGCAATTTGCTGGCTGCAATCMCTCATGAAATACTGAGATAAACCATAGCTATGGTCACTGGTTAATGTGCAACACCTCATGTGCACCTGCCCCAGAGTGACTGCTCTGAGGGAACTCCTGGGGTCTCATTACAGAGAGCTGGCCCAACATCCTCCTAACAGGGCAGGTCTTCAAATAGGTTTATAAAGTGCTTTGTCTGTTCATTATTGAGGGAGTAGAAAATTCTTCTTTGTGTATGTGGGGCTTTCATAGTGAGCTAGTCACTTTTTCAGTGAAAAAGTTGAGATTATTCCATCACAAAATGTAAGAGACTGGGTATGTTGTTGTCTAGCTCTGAGAGGTTGAAAAGTAACTCTGTTTAGAATAATGTTGATAAACACTCAATTTCATAGAGGGGAAACAAGATGGTATTTTTGAAAGTCGCATTATTGATGTAGGAAGCTGCTTTGAATCTAAGGATCTCTTCTTAAAAGTTAGGAAATGGAGAGCTGATACAGCTTTTGTTAAAATTCATTGTAAATACACTTTCTGGAATGGAAGGTAGCCTGTGCTTTCTTTTCTGGATGTGCAGCTAATTAATTAACAATAATCAATTTCAGATGGCTTGAAGTTTAGCACAAGTGTTTTGCTAGGAAAGCACTTCAGTTAATTCCTAAATAAAAAGCGCTTTGAGAAATCCCCTTTTTCATGTTATTTCTGCCTCCTTGCTCACTGTAGGAGGATTAGCTCCTCGAAGATACTGATTTAACAGAATCTGGTCTATTTGCAGAGTGATTATCAGGTGAAGCCAAGTCCTTCCTTAACAGACCAGTAGAAGTGATAAGCCCATCATGTTTGGGGTCTGGAAGTACAAGCAAAGAATCTTTAAGCTTTTCTTCTTTTTTTTTTTTTCTTTTTTATACTAAGACAATGGACACAAACTCTTGAGTTAAATCAGCATTGACTGCTGTACAACATTCATTATGGGTGTATCACTTCATTAGAAAAAAAACCAAACAAAGGAACTTGACACCCTTTAAAAATACATCTAATTTTCCTTTTGAAAACCAGACACTTCTTTTACCCTCATCCATTAAAGCTTGTTTTGCTGTTCCCAGTGCATACATGCCCTGATGGTCAGACATTCTGCCTRGTGGAATGGCCACACAGACTGGTTTGTTGAGCCGTGTCCAGACAGGTACAGCATTGCCTGAAAATTCTTGGAGCTATTGTCTGATAATGTTCCATCATTTCTGCTGCTTTGTTCGTGATAGCCTGCAGARTAATAAATGCAGGTTCTAGCATGAAAATTGTCCCTCTAAGTTGTTTCATCCTGCAGATATCAAGCCTGTCTTCCTGCCCTTTGCTGATTTAATTCYACCCAGTCGTTCTCCGACTGGTTTTGTGAACTGCAGTTCCCTCTGTTCCCAACCATTTGGTCTAATAGGCTGTGATGAGGGGTTGGTGCTTGGAAAACCATGTTGTCAGAACTGATGACTGTGGCTAATCAATGATTCATAAACAATTACTTCAGAGTAGTATTCAGTCTCCTCCCCACGCAGAGCATGGTAGAACAAAGGGTGAGTGTGTAGTTAAATGAATCTCTGTTCTCACCTTCAGGCTGCCTGTGCAGGGTCCACTTTGYCCTGGTGACCATTGGTGGCCACTCAGCATGGTCTGGCTGTCAGTCTGGTGACTGCAAAAGTCCTTCTACAAAGACCTCTACCCTTCAGGATAGCATCTTTAAAACTTATGTTCTCTCTCACCTTGTAATTCTGGTAAATATCCCTGTGTCCCCATGCAAATCCCAATTAATTGATTAAGTAAAGTGAGGGGCAGATCTGCAGTACTGCTAAACCCTTTCCATCCTGCTCCCCTTTGGTACATGCTAACAGAGCATCAGATACTCTATTTATCCATTCTCCATTATTGTTTGAGTTGGTTGGTCCCTTGTTTTTTTGGTGTGCCCAGGCATATAAAAAAATACCGACAGCTCCTTAACACAGACTCCCAGTATCAAGTATTTAAAGTTACTGCTTTCTGCCAGTTTTCTCAGTCTAAAAATGTGATCGGCATAGTAAATCCATGCAAAAAAAGTGTAAACTTTTTTGTTTAAACCTTCTTAGAGATGTATCAGGTGGTCATGGAAATCAGTTGTCTGGTCCTAGTGCTGTAAACGGGAAACTTTACAAAAAGCTGAGACTGTTCAGAAGTATATTTAGGTAAAATCAGGCCTTCCTTCACAACCTGAAATAAATAAAGGCCTTGCAGCAGGTGGAAGCAGCCTCTGAGGTACAGATGCCCAGGGTAGAACAGGTACAGAGACAAGGCAACAGATGGACCTGAAAATAATTGCAAATAACTACCTTTGCTTAGAGTTAAATTCTCAGTGAATCAAGCTGATTTAGCTGTGAGACAGGAGTGGGCAGATAACTACTGGTAGCTGGCCCAAGGTCAGTGAACACTTCCTTAAAGAGATTGTGTACAGCAGTTATTTTCAGGCTTTTCCAATTTAGAAACCCCTTCAGAGCAAATTTGGCTCAGATCTGCTGCTCCTTCTTGGTTACTAGGAGCTRACTGGTCTAATGGACTGAAGAATTGAGGTGCAGATGAGAGATGAGACAGTCCTGTGCATCTCATGCAAATGACAGAATAAGGAATGCRTTTTATTTCTTCTTGCTTTTAGCTTTGGAGAATTGAGGAGCAGCAAGCAGGTTCAGAAAGGCTGAGGTAAGCTGTTCTGACCCTTTCAGGGTATGGTTCTGTGTCAGATCCATGGTGTTTGGGGGACAGCTTCAGTTGTTACCACAAAGTAGGATGTACTTCCTACAGAAATAGGAAGTACAGAAATAGTGGTAATTTAGGTGCTAATATTTGCTTTATGAAAGAGGGGTGTTCATATGTATCCTTTCTAGGATTTTTACTTTGGGTGGTTCTGTACAGAGAATCCAAACAAAYTGTAAACATGTAAGCAAAAAACACAACATGCAAAATGTATGTGTGCTTGTTGCTTAAAAAGGCAAATAAGTTTGGTTGTCTTCTRTTTAGGGATGTTGTTTGTCTTTTGTTTATGAAAAGCACTAGTGAAGTACTGAGTGTTGCCATAAATACAAGTTTTATTTGGASAAAACTCATTTATTAAAGACAGCTGAATTGTATTTATGATTAGTTTCCAATGTTGCAGTGATCCATATCTTGCAGGAGACCTGTTCAATATTTTGTTTTCATCCTGTCACAGCAGATCTGTTGGTAGCAATTCGTTAAGGGATATGATTATAAAGCATCTGCTTCCTCGTCTGGTAAAAACTGAGAATTAGCTTTCTTTTCAAGGTTTTATGCTTCTRTGATTCAGAGTAATCCCCTGTCAGCAGGCTTTCATGTGGAAGGGCTACTTCATACCATGAGGGAGTGAGAAGCAGCACCAGAAAGGCAGGTGGAAAAACATGCAATGAGGATCATAGCAATTCACACAGCTGAATTTTTCCTGTAGGAAAAATAAACTTATTCACATCATGGCTGAATTGTACATGGTCTTGCAGTGTCTTTTTGCCAGTGTTTGCATAAAACCTTGTTGTTCCATCCCTGGAGAGTTCCCTCATGATTAGTGATGTGCAGTCACATCTTTTGAGGAAGACAAATTAATACTCTTCTATCACAGCTAAAAAGAACTCTACAGTGAAGCAGTCAAATGTTGCAGAAAGATGGTTGCTTTTAAGTGATAACAGATTATGTTTAAAGAAACTTTCTGTGCTAAGAGAAAATATTTTGTGGCAGAAATAATTGACTTTYCTCTGGTTTGATTAGGGCTCATTCCACTTCTCAGAAACTTAATGTAGCGCCTTAAATGAGAGGCTGTGCTTGTGAAGCAAACCCTCCCTTAAAGGAGAGTAAGCCAGGGGCCCAGAGCTKTCCTCTGATGGGCCCACCTTCTTTATTTTATTAGCCAGGTCTGTAGCCAGGTGGGAGGGATCTGGGCAAGTGACTCAGTTCCTGATGGGCAGCAGGAGTTGCAGATCTGTTGGGTGGTGGTAATTCATAGCAAAATCGCTTTATTTGTTGTTGGAAAGTTCTGCAGAGTTGGGGAGTTGACTGAAACAGTTTTCCTGCTTTGTTCTTTGATAGGGAATGAACACATGGTTGTGGGGATTATAGTTCTTGAGTTCTTGTTGGTGTTAAAGATAAAAGCAGCTGAAAGAAAGAAAATACTGCTTGAAATGCAGGTTTAATTTCTTACCCTCCATTCAGAAATCTCAGGGTTGTGTRAACCTATTCTTCTTCCAGGTGGCTGAGTGTTTTTCTGCATTATGTCAGGGTGGAAAATTAGGGCACTGTGCAAATAACTGTGTGCTAAACAGGCTCTGGGTACTCTGCAAATCAAAGGAGAAGAGCCTGAAGAAAGTTCTAACACTTCTGGAGTGGCCAAAGCAGTAATTTGCAAAGGGGGTGTTGAAATGTTGTCATTTGTGGTGGTGTATGATGTAGAGGTGCTTACTTTTATAAATTATTGTGTGAGGGCTCAGCCTGCAGGTTTTGAGCACCAATGGTTGTTAATCTGTGACACCCAGCAGRGCCATTGTCCTCTTTTCAGATTTAATTTTCAGATACATCATTTAGTAAACACAATAATATGAATCTTTGTATTTCCCACACCTAAAAAAGGRTGAACAAAATGTATGAATTACTCTTTTTAGGAGAATTACTGAAGTTTGGATTGCTGTCTTGATACTATAAACCTGCAATAAGTGGCAATGTCAAGGGTTCCCACCCCACCTCCTCCTGGGGAGATGTCCAGTGGACCTGTGGCTGAAAGCTGGTGTTACACACAGGTAATCTACATAAATTCCAATGGCTTTATTTTCAATTATTGTCATAATAGCTGTTAAAAAAACCTGCTAAAGTAATTTAAATATTGAAAAATTAACGCTTACAGTCTAAGTAGTTCTCGTAGTTAATGCTTGATATGTAAGTTAAATTTTTTAACATTTTCTGATCTTTTGTTTAGGTTAAAGTAGTAAAATTTTCATAYATGTGGACCATTAATAACTTCAGTTTTTGCCGAGAAGAAATGGGTGAAGTTTTAAAGAGTTCTACATTTTCATCAGGGCCAAATGACAAAATGAAGTGGTAAGGTTTTTATTTGAGCAAGTGCTTTGGTTTTGTTCTGGGTTTTTTACTCACAAAAATTGTAAAATTACATTACAAATAAATATTAAAACTTGGACACTTCTCAAAGTTTTACTGTAGGTATGGATTGGTTCTAATTTCAAAGTGTTGATAATCACAAGGGAAGCATTTACTTCAGTAGCATTTATCATTGTGTCTTGTAAAAATACTTCTGAATTTATTCTGGACACCATTTAAAAATTACAATTTTTCTGKTTTTTTTTTCAGGTGCCTGAGAGTGAATCCAAAGGGATTAGATGATGAAAGCAAAGACTACTTGTCATTGTATTTGCTTTTAGTCAGTTGTCCAAAAAGTGAAGTCAGAGCAAAATTTAAATTTTCCCTGCTGAATGCTAAAAGAGAAGAAACAAAAGCAATGGGTAAGGGAATATTAATGTGGTTTTGTAAGAACATCCTGGAGAACATCAGCAATGTAATTTTTTTCAGTTGAGAGCAGAATTTAATATTGAGATAAACTTTAAAAATATCTTTCTTTAATTTCCTTTCAGAAACTTAATTATAAAATCCTGTTCATGTTTCACACATTTCTGATCACTGAGCTATGCTAATTCTATCCTGAGCAGTATAAATTACAGCACATTGCCAACTGCTGTCACTCCAGGTGCTTGTCACTTAGTTTTTCCAGCAGATTATTCTTGTTTCCTATTAGTAGAGGTGTATCTGCTTGTTGGTAGGTGCAGTGGAAGTGTTTGATTTCCATAGTTAATTAGGAGAAGCATACATGGCTCGTTTTTTTTAGACATCTTTCACAATGTTTTGGTCTATTTCAGCTGATTCACAGTGTCATCAGTTTAAAGATATGAGCCATGTACCCAAGGAATTAGAAGACTTTGAAATAATTGATAATTTGATTTAATTGTTGTGCTGATATAAAAATGTATGGAATGCTCTTAGTTTCAAACTTGTGAGAACAACCTTCACTGGAAATGGTTTTTGGGAAAGCTGGGATCCTTGTGAAAACAAATAATTTAATGCTCATCTGCACTGAATCTGTGCTGCTGCAAGTCCTGTGTGCGAAGAATTTCTCTTATTTTTCTTCTCATCTTCTACTTCAGGACTTTGGAGATGTTTCAGGTCCTGTTTTGTGCAAGTTCTTAATTTCTTACAAAAAGTCTATAGTTCTGCAGTGTTTATACCCAAAGTTCATGCTGTTGCTCCATAAGTAACTAGGCCCACTTGTAYCTCTAAATTAAATCCACAGAACTGAGTTCAAATGTAAAAATTTAATTATTGGACTCTTTGGAAGGAAGGTAAATGTATATGTTTCACATACATGTTTCACTCTACTAATCCTCTTATACTAATGTAAATGATTTCTTTAGTCCCTGCAAGATTCCTCCTTCTGGAGCTTATATGATCAAAGCTGTACTTGTGTACATCTGGTGAAACTTTGTCCACATCTGGTGAATCTTTTGGCTTGACAGAGGATTCCAGTCCAGGAGTAGATTGGTGTTTGTATAATAAAATGTAAACTTCAGTGTGTTTCTCAAAAACTATTTGGAGATAATCATAGAATCACAAGATTGGAGAGGATGCACAGAACCTCTGGCTGTCCCCAGAGCCCTGCTGAAAGCAGGGTGAGCTGCAATAGTTATTTTGGGACCTGTTGTGCTTTGAGATCTCCAAGGATGGAGACTGCACAACTTTATCTGGGCAGYCTGTTTTAGTGTTTAGCCAGGTCCTGCCGGTCCCTTTTTGCTTTAGGGGTTCATTGTGGGTTCATGTTCACTTTTTGTCCCCCAGGACCCCAATCTCCAGTGACCTGTTTGTTCCTGACCAGTAGATCTCTAGCAGACACCCAAATCCTGACCCATCAGCTCTCTGCTGGTTCATCATCCACTGCAGTGCTAAAAATCCTATGAGTAGGTGTGTCTTCAGCTCCTGCAGTAGTAGTGCTGTGTTTGGCACCACAGGAGTTATAAATATCCTTTCACTTTGGGAAATTACCAACAGAAGTCTTATTTCTTGGACTCTCCAGCCATTTGCCATCTGCTTCTGTAGATGCTGTGTATTTACTGAGACAGGAAAATGATGCCCCACTGCCAATGTCCCTTGTAAATTGATAATTCATGCATAGGCTGCTGCTTCAAGGGATGGAGCTGGGTATGAAACAGATAGCAAACTAACATTTTAACTTTATTAGAAGAAAAATACATTTGCAYTTTTTTGCTGCTCTGTTTTTCTTCTTTTGTAAACTTAATTTTGGGGGTTAACACTGGTTGTTGCTGCTAAGAGTAAAATCTAAGCCTGCAAGATAAAGAATTGGCCTAAATCTAGAGAAGAAATTTTTGAGCCCTTTTGGGAATGTGATTTTCTGATTATTTTCTTTTTTATTCAATTAATGAGGTTAAAAGTTGTTAAAAGCGTGAAAACACTAATCCAGCTGCCAAAAAATCGAAACGATGTTTTTTTTTTAATGTGATTTTCTTCTTTGGTATATAGATTTTAAAATGTGACCAGTGTTGTGTATTCTGTTGCCCTCCAAGCTCACACTGCACTTCAGTGAGTGCCTTTCCCTCTGCTTCTGTGCTGTGCATGGGCAAGGGRTTGTTGATACAGGAGTGTGGTGAGGTGACTGGGATGGAGACCTCCCATCTCCTGCAGTGTCAGCTCCTGGGTGSTTCTTCCTTGTATTCCAAAAATGCAGTGAAAATCTCTGCAGGATATTTTGCTTGATATAATCCTAGTGAAAAAGTGTGTRAATATAATTTTTCCAGCTCCTGGTGGTGAGGACAGTGTGTGACAMGTGTGTGTTTCCTGGGGTACGTGGTCAAGTGTGTTCCAGTGATSCTGCCAAGTTCAATAGTGTAGGGAAGTCTGGCTTTGCTGATGGCTTTATTTTGGAGAAGGAGTGATATTTTAACAGGCTCTGTCATKAAAAACACTGTGTTTTTATTGCAAACTTCTGACTTAAACTTCTAAATTTCTCTCTGGAAGGCTAAAGCATCTCTGCATAGAGCAAATGARATTGTAACTTGTTTCTTGCCCAGCTTTGGAATGAAAGAAAAGTTCTTTTTTAAAGAGCTCTTCATGAGATCCCTCCCCACTTCCTCCTCTGGTCTTATTTCAATATTCTTTTTGTCTTAATTTTGAACAATCATTCTAAATATAATTCTATTTATGCTTTATTCTATTTATGTTCTCARAGCCATTCCCAAATAACTGCTTTTCCATATTTTTAGTTCCATGTTAAAGTATATGCTCTTTGCTGTGGTTTCATTTGGGGACCAAGTGGCCATTTTTCRGTGAACCAGCCATGTAAAATGTGTGATCTTACTGAATTTACATGTGTTTGCACTGTGGGAATTCTTTTTTGGCTGTGAACATTAGAACTGAGGAAAAAAAGACTTGTGTGGTCACAGAAATTCTGATTGATTTAAAAAAAGTAATTCTCATAATTAGGGCTAAAAGTACATCTAAATAGTACCTTATTATGACTRAAGAATAGTTTCCTACTTGAAAGCTTTTATTCCTCTTTTGCTATCTTAATGCTTTTACTGTATTTCAAACTAATTTCAACCTGTGAAACAAGATTTTCCATTTCAGGAAGAAGTCAAACCAGATTGTTATGACAACTGCAGAGTGTTGTCAGGATGGGTTTGTGGTGACAAATTCATTGTAATGGTGCTTCCCTGTGAACAATTCCTGTTTTGACACACTGGCATTCTTAACCACTCACTGAAGAACTCTTGTGCTGGATGGTGCCTCAGAGATCTAAGGAGATGATATAGTTTGAATTGCAAATTGTGCTCTACTAAGCTCTATCAACACTATTACAATATTAAAAAGATTTTAATCAGTCCTGTGTTTTCTGGAAATGTGACACGTGATCCAAATGTATAAAACTGATTAATTTTTTTTATTAACACTTAGCCTTGATGTGGAATTATGTGTTATTTGTTAACATTTTCCTTTAACTTGCTATATTTGTACATTTTTTTATCAGAAAGCCAAAGAGCATATCGATTTGTGCAAGGCAAGGACTGGGGRTTTAAGAAATTTATCCGAAGAGATTTTTTACTAGATGAAGCTAATGGTCTTCTACCAGATGACAAGCTTACATTATTTTGTGAGGTGGGTATTAATTTTTAAGTAATAAACTTTTMAATAAAATGTTTTCTGCTCTAATAAGTAGAGAATTATGTTGATTTAAATGGTAACATACTCTTAAATTGTGTTCTGAAATCTGTAAGCTTGGTAAAATATGCATTGCTTTGTCTGCATTGAATTTTGTTCTCTTTTTTGATGCTTGTACACTGAGATGTAGTGTTCAATTGATCACTTCTAACTGCTGCTTTTCTCCATAAAKCATCAGAATCAACAGTGGAATTATTTATGCCAAAGGTGGCTGGTATGTGCTATCTACAGAAATGCTGTTTTACTGAGGTCACTTTTATTTGAAGAAGTTGTATTTGGAAGCAGACAATTGTTTTTCACTGGATAAGCAGAAGGAAATGTTCACACACTGGTTCATGTGATGAAAGAAAACCCAACTAATTGTCAGAATCTATATTCCTGTAATATCCTAATTGATGGCTTTAACCAATGAACAGGTCTTTCCTGAAATTTATTTTTGTACCAGTTGTTAGATTGTGTTCTCTGATCAAATGCAAGTATCTTGTAGAAGGTGTGCTTGATGCTGAAAATTAATATTGAGAACTGTGCTATAACTTTTACTTCACGGTGTATTCTGGGTCATTTCTTCTATAATATCACTTATGCTCAYAACCTAAATTTTCATATTAAATTTCAGTGAAAAGCTTACTCAGTGTTAAGAATGGAAACTAGAGAAAGTGGCAATGTGAGTGTATGTTGAATATGCATTGGCTGGTTATCTGGGCTGCCATAAAGTGATTAGTGACTTAGGAAGGATGATAGATGCTCTAACTGCTAATAAGTTTGCTTTGATCTGTGTATTTACAGGAAATGTGTAAAATTGTCTTGGCAAGATTACARTTTAATTATATGTCATTATGCGGGGTAGGAAGAATAATTGAAATGTGGCCCTTGAGACTAGATATTGCAAATATAGTGCATCTTATTTTCACTTAGACAAGTTAAATTAGCTGCATGATAAATTTGTTATGAATGCAATTATTTGGATGATAAAAGCAGATATAACAAGTGTTTTATGGTTCTGTAAAGATACTTTTGAGTATTTTCTCTTCTTAARTTGTCCTCTTAATGAACACTTTGATGTAAATGAACAGCTCTTAAAAGTAGCATTTGGTTTTGGAATAGATCACTCTCTAATTTTAGAGATTAAGTTAGTTTTAAAAATATAATTGGAAGAAATATTGAATTTTCTACAGAGAAACATTGTTATTTAAATTCTGATGCTAATCACTGAATTTGTCCGTGTTTCCCTACAAAACTTCTTGATGTTCTAATTTGAGTGTCTTTTGTGRAGTGTTGGACCTACTCTGACTATAAATATGTAAGGAAGTAAAACATTTAGTTGTTCAYAGCAAGCATGTTAAAATAACTTCTGGCTTGTTTCAGGGTGAAGGGAAAAATTGGAAATCCAAATATTTTRAGAATGTCTTTTGGAATGTGTGATACCAGCTCTTCAGCTGTCCTTAGAAATGACAGGTGTTGTATGAAGGACCTGTTTCTGTAGACAAGCCTGAAGTTTTTGTCTTTTAAAACTTTAATCTTAAGGTCTGATTTCTGTAAGATTTACCACTTCTTAAGACTATACTGCACTTGGCTTGATAGAACTTGTCAGATGGAGCAGGTATCTGGTGAAGGTCCATGATTACTGACTCTGTTGGTTGGCCCTTCTTCCTGTTAGGTTGCAGGAAGATTATTTGGTCACCTTTGGCAGCAAAGATACTAATTCTGTGTTGCCAAAGGTTCTTAAAATCAGCTGGGTGTGGATTGGAACTTCAGGTTCCAATCCTCTGGACAAGTGAGATAGGAAATACCAGACCCCTCTAAGCCTTTGTATTTAGAAAGACAATACATGCCAGACCATTCGGGTAGGGAGGCTTGAATTAAAACTATGCTTGGGTTATATGTTAAAATATGACCCATAATAAATTGTTGTGTTGCACAACTATCAATACATACTGGAAGCCATCCTAAAATAGAACTTTGGAAGGTCAGAGATCAGTTTTAGTGCACRTAGAGAGTGTGTAGATGACTTTCCCTAGGCAGTGTCTGTAGCTAACWAGAAGATGCTGTGTGGACAACTGGGATCGTGAACTTTGAGGCAAGGCTCTGGAAAAGCAGAACTCTCCTCTGGCAACAGAAGATGAGCTTGGCTAAGCTAAAACTTCCTTTGTGTGTATGTATATCTCCTGAAATCACTGTGTATATGAACACTGAAATGGCTCTATAGATTTTTTTACTGTTATAAATGTACAGTCTTGCTGTGAAAGAGAAATTTTGCAGTGCTTTGGGTTTTTATTTTTTTTTTCTTTTAAGGTGGAAGAATATAAGGCAATKTTTTGTATTCACAAGGGGGTGTAAGATGATACAGGGAATTAGGCAATGATTCAAATCTCAAACCTGCTGTCATAATTGGATCATCCTTCTCCTCTTCTGTTCTGGGGTTGGATTTGCAGTGCTCCAACTTTCTGTGAAGTTTAGCTGTGCTGTTTTTGCTTTATGTCAGATTTATTCCAGATGCTGTGCCTTYGGGAATCAACCAAAGCCCTGATCCTAACAGTATCAGCATTTTTTGTTAAGATATAATCCTAATTTTTTGTATTTGGGAGATGGAGCGATCAAAATCTTGTAGTATGACTCTTTACAAAGGTTTAATTCTCAGATCTGTGCTCTCAGACAARAGAAGTAAAACCTGCTTAGCTCTTCTGTTTTCCCAACACACTGATTAAAAGTGTGAAGATAGCCTAAAAAGCAGCAAGGAGTGCTGCTGTCCTGTTTCCTTCCTATGTGAAAGATTTAAACATGGGAAATAATGGCAGAATTTTCACTTCAAATGCACTTATTTCATTTTTCTTAACTAGTTCTCTACTGAAGTTAYATCCTGTGAATTTGCGTTTCATTATTGAAATTACATACTGTACCTTGTACTTTGAAAGTAATGGCTTTTAATCTTGTTAAAAAAAATACTGTGATTCCTTCATCATCTGGACTAAGTAAAATGAAATAATGAAGGAGCTGTTACTTGCACTTAGCTTGCATTATCACACTGCAGGTTATGTATAGAYTTACTGTCAGTACAATAAGGGATATCTTACTATTAAAAATTTCTGTGATTTATTATGTATGAAACTTTTCTGTGACCATGTGATCCTGRTGATCTGTATTGAATTTTATGTTGTGTATATTTTACTCAGGTGTGTGAAATATTGAAGTGTTAATTTAACTGAACTTCTTTTTGTTCCCACTGGTTTTCCAAGAACTGTGTCTGTCCTTGACTTATTTACTTCGGCATTTCTGTCAGGTGGCATGTGGTATTGTGCTCTTTTTGTTTTGGTTAGATAAGTACACAATGTTAGAATCTCTAAGTAAAGCCTTATTTGTTTAATGTTACTTAGAAGTAAACTGTAAAGCGTCGGTTTATTGCTCTGGCCTAATGCCAGAAACTTTGCTGTTTTTTGCTTTGCTTTGGAATTGTTGGAATTTTAGCAATAGGTACTGTGATTTAATTAYTGTTGGCATTCAGTTATGAAGGAGTTGTCTTGCTGTGATTTTCTGTTAGGTAAGCGTGGTCCAAGACTCAGTAAATATATCAGGACAGTCTAATACAAACACTTTGAAGGTACCTGAATGTCGACTAGCAGAAGATTTAGGGAATCTCTGGGAAACAACAAGATTTACTGATTGCAGTTTTTATGTAGGAGGACAAGAATTCAAAGCTCATAAATCTGTCCTTGCAGGTACTTTCTACTTTTGTATTGCTATTATTTYGTAATTTAAATTGCTATAAGTTTGAAATTTGATTATATTTAAAATTTACTTTTCTTGATGCAGCACGATCTCCAGTTTTTAATGCAATGTTTGAACATGAAATGGAGGAAAGCAAAAAGGTAAGCTTTACTGAAAATATTATGTAAATATTTGTAAACTGYAAAAAAAWGAAAAAGTTGCWGAAAACTTGAGGTACTGCAGATTGAGGAGGATGAGGACTCTGCTGGGGCAGCTGCTRAACCGCTCCTGGTGAGTTCTGAAGGGAATTTGTGTAGAAATTTCGAGTGGAGAGGTATGGAAGGATTTGTTTTTTCCTTGTATGTGCCCTAGATAACGTTTCTAAACATTAGCTGCTGGTGTAATTGACCTGGTAATCTCTGCCCCCTTTTTGTCTCAGTTTTTATTTTCCCATCAGCTGATTGGCTTGACTAATGTTTTGCTGTAGAGTTAAACAGTTTTTTATGGTAGCCAAGAARAGGGAGGTGAATTATGAGAGGAATTAAGCCCTGAGGCAGTGGAGCACTTCTTCCATTCACAGCTTCTGCAGGCACTTGACCTGTGTAAGTGTTTTGGAGGGATGGTTACTCAGTCAACAGAGTGCTGCTTCTGCTTTTATGCACTTGATGTCTCCCCCAGCGAGGAGCTGTTGTGTCTTTCTTGAAGAAGAATTATCAAAAATATATTGGTTATAGGCAGAATCCATGAAAAGGTGAGGAACTGATCACCTCGCTGAAGGGTTGTGATTGATGATSATCATTTGCTCTTGAAAGCTGCAAGTGGCCGCTTGTGTGCACAATACATCAGGTGAATGTGGTGCTGGGGTACAACTGAGRGTCACAAATGGGGCATTTTCCTTCCCAGCTCTTCTCCAGTTTGGAAATTTCACAGCTGGAATTGGARTATTGGGAGCATTTTATTGAGGTTCTGAAAGAAATCCAGTCATGCCACAGCTKGAGTAATGTGCCTGGGCCTCGGTGTTAGCAGTGAATCTCCAGCATAGCCCTACTCCTAAATGCTGATTGGAAACCAGAACATCACCTGTGCCTGGGATTTTATACTCCATTCAAAAGTCTTGCTTCTGCATCTTTGACATAATTTCCTGCTTCATTAGTTCCTTATGGGGATACTGTTATAGGATTGGTCAAGCATGCAATGCCACTGTTGTATTAGGGCAATCTTCAACTGTGTGATGTCAGCTCAGTGTGCTGCTTTGTTTGCTTTTTGGATTCTCAGAACAAAACCTGGGCTGTGTTGACTCAGTTTAAGTCGAGCCAAGAATGGCTCAATTTGTTCTGTCTGCTGCTCTGACTTCTGATATTCCAAACACGTTGTTGGGTTGGAAAATTTAGAAGCGTTTTTAAATATTCCTGAAACCGTGTCTTGGTTTTATATACAGTCTGTGTGATAGACTCCARAGTTATGTATTTCTAGGAAAAATATTGCAATTACTTTTTATTGCTGAAGCTTTTCCAGCTGATTTCTACCTAACTTTTAAGAGCTGTTTTGTGTACTTTCTGCTTAACATTGTTGAATGTTACCTTAAATTTGTAAGGATTTTATATGATGGATGGCGAATGAAAACTTGTAATGTGATATTTGATACTCACTTTAAAATTGTAGCTAAATTCCAAAGACTTTTATTGATTCTTTTTCCTTACCAGAATCGTGTAGAAATAAATGATGTAGACCCTGAAGTTTTTAAAGAAATGATGAGATTCATTTACACAGGAAAAGCACCAAACCTTGAAAAAATGGCTGACAATTTGTTGGCAGCTGCAGACAAAGTAAGTAATTGACTTCAAGTTCCTAAACCTGGTGTTTATTTGTGGAATGATCCTCTAAACAGAAAAGACCTCTTATTTTCAGATTGTTTGATACATATTTTGCTTTTTTTAAACATGAGAAGCAGATCTCATCAGAAATGAAGGACGATGGGAAAAAATAGACTTTTTTTTAGCAGTACAAGGCTGATAAATCTGTTTTTTTGAACAGAAGTGTTTCAGGTATCTATTTAGTGTCATTTTTTTTTAGAAATTGGAGACAATTAATGGGTTTTGAATGAAATGKATACTAGATCTTTGTATTCTTCAAGATTTACTTGAATTTACTGTGCTTCCCCAAAGTACTGCTACATTAAAACTTTCAYCTTTTTGTATTCCCTACAAACATAATAGTCTAATCTTTCATCTCTTCTGTGTTGGGATCTCGTGTACTCTTAAAATTGTTGTTCTGTGAAACGCTTTCTGTGCTGTGATTTTYGAGATGAAGGGATTTACAGCAGCTCAGCAATTAAGGTTATTTTTTGAATGCTGGCATTGATTTAGGGCATAATTGATAAATGTAGAGACTATTGTAAGGCGCAGTTATGAGTGTCTGCAATACCAGAAAATAAAAATCAAACCTGTTTGGACTGTTACAACCTACAAAAAAGAAGCACAGATTGTTCATGCAAAATACAATATGGGAATGCAGTTATTTTACATCAGATTTCTTGTAGACTGCATCCAAGATATGAGGAAAATTAAGAAATTCAGAGATGGGTTGGGGCTAAACTGAAACTTATTTTAAACAATGTAGTTTGATGAAAATCTCTTTTATCATTTCTTGCCTCCACTTAGAGATGTGAACATGTTTATTGCTGATTTGATTGCTTGCTCCTCCTTCCTTACCAAGCRGAAGGGAAATAAAAACTTCTGAACRAGTTATTTTTGTTGTTTCAATAAAAATTCTGTCAGCAGAATCTTTTATTAGTTGGTATCAAGCCTAATTCCTGTGTTACATTTGAGAACTCTTCAGTGCAGCACATTGCTCTGTGTGGTACTTGCGGGGAAGCAGTTTGATGTCAGGTTTGGGAGGCACCAAGCCTGGCTGGAACTGCCTAAAGAGCTGTAGAGATGAGGACAGAAGGAATGAGTTTGAGGAATGATTAGTGCAGTTTTTCTCTCTCTCCAGTATGCACTGGAACGGCTGAAGGTGATGTGTGAGGAAGCACTCTGTAGTAACCTCTCGGTAGAAAATGTTGCTGACATTCTTATCCTCGCAGATTTGCACAGCGCTGAACAGCTCAAAGCACAAGCAATAGACTTTATTAACAGGCAAGTAACACTTATGGGACTGTATAAATATATTTGTGTTTATGCTCAGTGTACCTTTTCAATAGTAGCACAATTCTTTCTTGCAGGTGCAGTGTTCTTAGACAACTTGGGTGTAAAGATGGGAAAAACTGGAATAGCAAGTAAGTTTCCCTGCCCCACGATGTTCTGTACAAACACTGCTAAGTAGACTGCAGATCTTAAGAACTGTTGCTTCATTTCCACACTACTGAGGCCTGTCACTGACTGTAAGTAAAGTAGGATTCAGAAGATGCTACCCCAGTTATGACTGTGACTCTCCCTTTAAATGATAGGGAATGTTAACTGGTGTGAGATCCTAACAACAGCTGGTTTTTATTCCCACTCCCAGGGGCACTGTGAAATGGTGGAAGCAGACTTTATAGAGAAAACCATTCTCTTGAGTAGCCAAGTTTGTGCCTGGAGAAGTGATAACCCCAGTGTGGTTTGAGACTTGCTTGGGTCAGTGTGAGCCTGCAGTATTTCCACAGAAAGGAGGGCAGTGCTCTCTCTGCCTTCAGGGACGTGTCTGTGCACCTTCCCACATGCCAGCACAAGTGCTCTGAAGGCCACACAACTCGTCAGTCAGGTCCCTCTGACTCTCAGGGCTCCTGCCTACACTGGAAATAGGTTGAGCCTGTGTGGCTCAGGCTCTGGCACTGGTTGCAGCAGCAGCAGCTCGAGTGAATCACAGAGTGGAAGACAGCCAGTTTCAGAATAGCTGGTAGTAGGCTCAGACAGTGTAAGGGCARTGGAGCACTTATTGCCTAAAATCAGGATCTCCAGAGAACTTAAAGGCAGTGTTGTRCAACTTAGTTTAAATTGTTGTTTGTCCTTTAAATAAAAAAGGCTTCACAGGCATAATCACTGAGCATGATGTGGAAAAGAAGGGGGTGGTGAAAGGTAAATAGTAAAATGCCAGTAATAMAGAGAAGTCAGAAYCATGGCCATGAAACTACTTGATGTRTTTCATCTCAAGTGKTTTGGAAGTTCCTGAGCTGATTTCTGTCTTGAATGTTTGCTGGTTAACATACTGGCCACCCTTGCTTCAGCTGAAACATCTGCAGTAGTTCAGGGAAACAGAGGRCCTGGCTTAATTTGCTGGCTCTGGGCACCAGGGAGTCTGAACTTTGGTATTGTTTCTCAAGGCCCTTACCTTAGAAATCTGCCAAAGGTGTTTAAGAGATTGTGTGGTGTGGAGATCAGCTGGTAACTTTATGCTGGATAATAYTCCTGAAACAGCATGAGGGTGCTCATGGAAGGCTTTTGAAAATGCAGAGCGATGGAAATTTGGGATTGATGCATCAGATAGTAATTCCAAATTACAAATGAAAAAAGTGAATATTTTCAGTGGTACTGAGAGTGCAGGCTTCCAGGGAACAGGTCTGGATCCAGTCAGCTAATCTGCCTTCATGGCTTTTTCTAGGAGATGAACTGTGGTTTCAGCTGATTCATTTTGTCATCCTTCTCTCTCCCCAAATTGAGCATGCCCTTTTATGTAATGAGATTATCATGTCTTCTCTTGCTTTTCGTCTCTGCAGTAGACCTCATTTTCTTCCAGTTTTCCTCTTTATTGTTTTTCCTGAGCAGTTTCAGGGTGGTTATTCTGACACATTTCTCTGGTGTCTTGCTGGTACTGAGTRGAGCAGAACAAGTACCTTTTGTCCCACATCTGATTATATTTCTATACCCAAATTGCAAATTGCTGCTTCTCTCTGTCRGCATCCACAGTGTGTTCCTCAACGTTTGACTGCCCTTCTGCTGCATTTCTGCCTTGCCTGTTCTTCTCCACTGTGCTTTTGRTTTGTAAAATTGTGTGACTGTTCTTAATGCTTCTGTTTTCAGCCAAGCAACAGACATAATGGAAACAGCAGGCTGGAAGTCCATGATCCACTCCCACCCTCACTTAGTAGCCGAGGCCTTTCGCGCTCTGGCRTCTGCACAGTGTCCACAGTTTGGCATTCCACGCAAACGGCTAAAACAGTCCTGAAATCTTCCATGAACTCTAGAGAAATTGGACTGACTCCACTCCTYCTTGTCCAGAGGTGTTCTCACAAACCATAACAAGAGTTTTTGTTATCCTTGTCCACAGAACAGAAGCTGAAAAAGCCTATTGTTTGCTTTTCAGATGGATAATTTATGGTTTAATCCTCAGCTTTAAATTAGACTGAATACTCTAATTCACTGAAAGGCCTTAAATTATCTTCAATGACTCTCTAGTCCATATAGTCTAATGTATCTTGATTTTTTTATTATTATTTTTTAATGTGCCTTGTCTTTTTGACTAGGCTCTGCAGGATTGCACTAGCTCCATAATGCAGTAAAGTTGATAACTGAAGATTAATTTTTGAAAGGGATCTTCCATTATTTTCAGAAGAGAAAAAAAAAAAAAAAGATTATAGTTTGGTCCTGTGCTAACTGGAAGGTTTTGACTGGCCTCTCATTAAAAGCACTTGAACCAGAGGCACATCATGTACCYTAGGCAAGTGCTAAATATAGGGAGAGCCTGTTCACCTTCAGCGAATGCCTACAGRCTATTTATGGCAATATACTGCTTTGAACATAATTTATTTTTCATTGTGGGGGCAAATATGCAATGGTTTGRCCCAAAAATGTATTTTCATTACAGTTTGTAATGCTTATTATGTGTGTGTCAAAGCTGTCCAGGCGGTGAAAGGAAACACAGAATAAACCTCTTGCTTGTGTTTCTCTACGGTCCATCATTAGTTTACATTTAATGCAGAACTGAACGAGAGGTGAAAGAGTTCAATGTGAAAAGGAATAGCATTGTACATGGAATAAATAAATCCCAACGTATGGTTGCATAGAAAAGTCAAGGATGCATAGAATGACCAAATGTAAATTGAGGAAATGGGCCAAATGGATTCTGAATATGCACTTTTAATGTGTAACTTTTGTATGTTGTGTGGTACATATATATTTTGCTTTTGATGAATTAATGAGGTACAGGTAATTGTGGCTTAACTTTTTAGATACATTTTAAGATGCCCACAGCCACATGGGATTTAGTTTTGTTAGAAAAGAAAGGCATGTCTTTTTAAGACTCAATTGAAGGTGGCTATTGCGAGCTTTCATATTTAAGTAACAGAATATTTTCGCTTATTTGAAAAAGGCATGTGAATGGTAAAAACTTYGAAGGGATTTTTCCCATCTTGACGTACGTGCACGGCTTCCACGAACACCTGGGGGAGGCTGTGCACACATCGAGGAGTATTTCCCTGAAATGTCAGATGGTATTTGCAAGCAGAGACTTGCTCAGTCTTGCATTTCAGTTATTGTACTAGCATTGTGGATGGTATTGAAATTCTGCATAATGTGAAAAGGATGAAACATTTGTAAACTGCTTGTCACGGGCCAGTTCTTTATTATATGAACCTTAGCTTTAATATCAACATCCTCAGTGTTTGATAGCTTTGTTTACAATTGGGAGGAAAAGTCTGCAGTGGTGCACACTCTAAATGTTCCCTGAGTTATTGCATTGAGTTTACTGTAATAGTGATAATATGCTGTATTTCTTTTTTTGGGGGAAGGCTTGGGTTTTGCAGTGGGGAATGGGAGGAGATCTCACCTAATTTATAAACCTCTTTGCATAAGGGTTTGAGTTTGCCTATTAGAAAAAGTCATGCAGGGAGRAGAGAGGAGGAATTTCAGGTTGTTTCTCCATCCTCATTTCACYGAGATTCATCTGACTTCCTCTGAATTAATTTTTTAGAGGAAAAAAAATACCATTTTATACTTTGGCATCTAGTAAACCACTTACAAAGGTRAATTGGAAAATAATGCCCAGTTCAATTTTGAAGATTAAAACCTCTAAAACATTCATTTTCTTCTTTCCCTCTAACTAAATCTTTATGATGGCTAAAGTGTAAAATCAGAAATTTTAATAATACACGAGGCATCAAATCATATATTTACAGAGATTTATCAATTTTTAAATATTTGYCTAAGATAAGATCTCAAGCATTCTCCACAATAGGAGGTGAAAGTGTTTTTTTCCAAAATCATTATGTTTTTGCTGCACTGTGTAATGTGTTGGGACTACAGCTCCTCATCCTCATCACTGTAAARGTCGCAGCTCTCACGTGCAAAGTGACTTGAATATTTAATGCTGTAATGTTTGCCAGGTCAGCCTGTTCTAAAGTAACAACATGCAGTAATCAGAAGGAAAGCTTAAGGATTTCTAGAATTTTTTTTCTAAAAAGCCTAATAGCACACCTTGTACCAAAAAAAAGTCAGACACTGTGCTGTGATATCATCTGCATCACARAGTGTCCCCTCCTGGAGCCAGGCAGTGTGAATCACATGTTAAACTAACAGGAAAGAGCCCTCTGCTGATCGATCTGTTCAGATTGGACTTTATTTATTTATGTTTTCAAGTTCTGTCAGATCTTGAGAAAAAGGTAAAGCAGTTGCTGTATTCTTAAGTGAGTGCACTAATTATTCACCTCTTTAATTACCTACATGCAGTGTTCTCACTGGAACGGGACAGCTGGTAATTACAACCTTCCCCTTCGGATTCAGTAGCTCACTTTCATTCCCCACATGTCAAGAACTTGCCCTTCAAARCCTCAGTTGGAAGTGCAGCAGATGGAGAGCGATCCAATAATCAATGGTCAGGTTTTTCCAGGCTGAAATCTTGGGGGTTTTTGCTCGTTTTYCCCTCCAGGTTAGGATTATGCCGTATGAAGGTGCCATGTTTTGGCTTGCCAACACTRCTCTCTCAGATAGATGTGAACCACCACTTCCATGCTTTTCTGGGGAGAACCCTGCATGTGTCCTGTGTGTGCGTGCGTGTGTGTGTGTGTGTGTGACTGTGTGGTGTTTTTTGTCCAGGGTGACTTTCTAAAAATAAGGACTCAATTTGCTGTTAAAATGCTGTTATGTATTATATATATAATTTTTTTTTTCTCCATTCAGACCTCTCCTAAGGAGATGCTTTGGGTGGAAGTTGCTTCAATAAATWATCCTTATTTCCTAGTCCATTTACTGCATGCAGAAGTATGAACACATTGTGCCTTTTTAGGAAACTGTTGCAATGAAGGGGAGATTTTAACAGGGTGCAAGGTCTTTGTAAAACGTATTTTTAAAGGTGAAGAAGAGTGCTCCTTGGTACACARTTGGGATGGAAAAGTTACAAGTTGCATTTGATCTCTGTTGCATGTTGATTCTTGCTTCCTAAATTSAATTTCACCGAGGTACAAACTACACAAACAAGTGAAATAAGTATTACAGATACAAGTTGAGTAATGGTATATTTTTGTGAAATTGTGATAATACTTGCTGTTACAAGCTAAGTGTATGTCAAAATGTGATAATCATGGACACAAAGTTACTCTAGTTCTGATGTTTTTCTAAACATTGAGTATTTAGTATAAAAATCACCTTGCACAGGAGATCAGTAGAAGACCTAYATGGAGATTATGTTCCTTTTAAATCCTCACAGCAAGGCTTCTCCCTTGGGAGAATAAAAGCCACGTGCAGTATTTGAAACTGTGTTTCATAGAAGGCATTGAATTGCAGATGTGAGGTACTGCTACCTGAAATGTTGTCGAATTTTGTTAAGTTTTAAAGTTGGTTAAAATTCCTAACCTTAATTGTTTTTTTGGTTTTTATTTTTTTTTGTAATTGACAAATGGAATGTTACCTTCCTCTTTGTCTGGTGTCAATAGTGTATTTAGTGCAGAGCTTAGCTCCTTAGCCAGCCAAGACACCGAGTCTCATAACTTGGCTTCTGCTTACAGTAAATGGACTATGTTTGTAAAGGGAATTCACTATTTCAAGTGTTTTGCAAGGAACTTCACTGTATTTGTAAMATGGTTTTTGAAGGCTTAAGATCAATGAGTCCTATTTTAGAAGTTAAACCAGTGAAATGACTTGGACCTGTTTTGGGGTGGAAATGATAGAGAATTCAGATATGTAAACAGTTGTATCAAACCATCCAGCCTTTTTTTATCAGCTGATGTTAATGGTGAAATACTTTTTGTACCTTGTTGCTGAAAATATTTTTGCGTTTCAGCACATCAAGTTACAATAAAGTTGTTACTTATACAGAATGTGTCTGTCTTTATTTGTTGTCTGTATCTGTGCATTTGTTCCCAATGGCTGCCTTTGCTTTGAGAAAGGTATTTTGCCAGCACTGTCAGTCAAGTGTAAAATATGCTGCTGTGCTTTTGGAAACCTCTTGTGGGGAGGATCATCTTGCAGCCTTGCTCTGATCTCCATTAACTTGGTTGTTCTCTTTTGACACATTTAAATATCTTAGAGCTCTGAACAGCTAAACTTGCCTACATGGGAAGTGTCTCCCTTTCCACAGACTCTGTCAGGACTGGWAGAGGAGCTGCTGCTGTGGTAGTGAAGATGGGTTTGGTGGGTTTGAAGAGATCTCCTTTCTTCCTGCACCCACCAAAGTCAAAAACTCATCTTTTGTCCTGCCCAAGAGACAGGCTGATAGTGAGCACATCCAGCAGGAATGCTGCTGGCATTGGTGACAGAAGTGATGTGAGAGGGATCTGTGGGGAGCTCAGGGTTCCATGTGGTTATAAACACTTCGCAGTGATCTGTGGGACTGTTGATTGGCTGCTCTGTGAATGTGACTTTGGACATTCTGAACTCCAGGAAACAATGTCAAGGTAAGGTATTTTATAAAAAGTGTGTGTTTGTGTAGGTACATGCAAAATTCTCCAGGTGTGATTAAAACATTCATCCCCTAATTGAATCTGCAGTGATCCATTCTGAAGCTTCTCTTGGGGTTTTTATTGGCATAACTCACACCTTCACAGGCACTTCAGTAAMCTCTGAGCTGAGGATTGGTCACCACTGTGAGTGGTATTAGAACTGTGCAATCCAAATGTTTGATCTGAGCTCCAAATTGCAGGGAAAAAAAAAAACCAAAAGAATATTCAACTTTTTTTTTTTTTAAGAAGGCTACATTTTTAGCCTTTCTGAGGGTGGTTTTCTTCTGAGTTGTTTATCTTGTCATACAAAAGTTTTCTTTTGTATTCCGCAAAATTGATTCAATGAGCATTGATTTTTAAAAACCACGTGTTTTCTTTCTATAATGTATTCTAATGTTCTGTGGGAACAGCATATAAAGAAAGCTTTTTCTTCTTTTAGCTGAATATTGTTGAAAGTATTTTATGATGTCAGTCCAGTCCCGTGTTTGTCCTTTTTTTTWAATGGGGAAAGTTCAAATATTGAATCTCGTTTGGTGATAGAGGCTGATAAGAATTGCCTGTCCTGCCACGTGCTGAAGGGAGGGTTTGATGTTGAAGTGTTTGAGTGCAGCCTGAGCAGTCAGGTGAGAAATTAAAGTTGATTAAAGTGAGTCTTTGTGTCCCTGCTTCAAACTTCATAGCATTAAKGGTTTTCTATCTTTTAGATTACTTCAGCTGCAATTACTATTCAAGTTAGAATATCACCTATTCCAATACAAATTTTACTTGCCACGTTTATTAAACAAATTAGATKAAAGATCCAACTGCTTCCATTCCACACAAATAACTTTGCACTTAACATTGTGATAGTGTGGTAACAGAGGAAATGCTATTAATTGCCACTTAAAATTAGAGTAGTCTTGAGCAGTTTATTTTTCTGCAAACTTCTTGGCAATTTTCCACTAGGAGAACATGGTTTTTGTTGTCTGTTTTGAAGATTCTTTCTCTRTATTCTCAGAGGTAACTGGAAAAAATACAAGGAGTCGAGTGAAACATTTCAGATGTGTGGTGCAAAGGATTTGCTTTTTCCATTACGAACACTGCATCAAGGAAAAAAAAAAAAACCCAACCCAGGCTCAGCAGTGAGAATTCTTGAGTGCTTTGGAATGGCATTCTAGGGGGTGTCAATAAGTTATATTTTAAACAGAATGTGGAGTTGGTGTTCCAAGTGTAAAATTGGGCTTCTCATGAGTCAAGTATAAAGAACAGAAACGAGCTTGTGATTTTGAGACTCAGGAGGGAAAAACAGCTTTGCAGAGTTTGCTTGGCCTTGGCTTGTAGAGAAAAGTAYCAGGAGTGTTTGAGCTCTTGGTGAAAGTGTTCTGAAGGAGCCTCAGAGCTGCAGCAATACCTGGTGAGCACCATCCTGTCAGGCTGGGCTGCTTTGAAAATCTTACCTGATGCCAACATTTCTGTCTTGCTTTCTTAGCAGAGTTGGAAGCATAACAATATTTTCGTGCAGGTACTGTGTTTCAATCAGGGGTAGGTGTATAATGAGTGGAAATCTCTGCTTTGCCCAACTTATGCATGTTTCATGCGTTGGCAGTGATAGTCATGCAGAAAATAAATTACACCATGTCAGACTTGGTGCTGCTGATCGGAATGGAGGCAGTGGTGCTGCATTTTAAGCAGTTACAGTTTTTGACTTCCCACGTTTCTTCCTGCACAGTTGACTGAGCCATTTCAGTTTAAAAAGGTAAATTTTGAAGCATATGCAAAAACATTCTAATGGGGTGAAATCTTAAAGCATAGAAGCGCTAACTGCAGTGTGACCTGTTTTAACCTTAATTGCAACATAAACTATTTATATTTTCCATTTTTAAACTGGTGACTTTTCTGTAAGCTTTGAATTTAATTTTATGTATTATGTACACAATTTTCTAACCCAGCTGTGTTTGTTGAGTCTTGAAATCTTAGAACAAACCACCTACTTGCTGCTGAGAAGYGTACAACTAAAATGTTTACCTTCTGTGGCCAGCAAAGACTTCATCTTGTGCCATCCCCAGCTTGAGAGCTGTGGTGGTCTTTGTGAAGCCCACACCATATATTTTTAAATGAGGAAAAAATATATTTAATGGTGCATCTTGTCCCTGCCACCTCCTGCAGATGGGCTGCTCTTGTCACAAGCCCATGAGAGATTTCTTGCACTACCAAGCCCTCATTCCTCCCTCACAGCAGGGCTGGGGCTTTTGCTGGGTCAAAAGAGTTTGTACCAACTCAAGTCAAAGGGGAAGGRTTATTCCAGGGCCACAAATAGGGAGACAATAAAAGATTTGTGTATTTATTGGCTTTTCTGGTCAAGATGAATGTGAGGTGTAGGTATGGAGCAGGGTGGATAATTTTTGAGTGCAGTTTTGTCCTCGAGTGCCTTGCTGTTCATCTGTTGTGGTGGGTTTTTTGAAATTGTGCTGGTACCTTTCAAATTATATAAATGAATACAAAATACCGAGTAAACCTGAAAAAGCTTCATAGTAAAATTTCAGCAAGTTCCATTTTYCTGATTTAAAGAAATGGAGATGCAAATTTCCTTGTGACAGTGCCTTTTAACAAAAAATCTGTGGTGTCAGATGTAGTTAATCTCAGAACAAACTATTAAAGGGGTTAAATTGTGTATTAGATTAGGAAAATACTCAGTATTTTAGCAGTAGWGCTCGAATACCAGGCATCTACTTCTGACAAGCTGACAGACCAGAGAATTGAAACTTAATGAATCTTAATGCTTTCTGTCATGTACTTCAATTTTCTCAAATTATTTCTCCAATTAGTTCTAGTCTTTGTGAAGGAATGATTAATGATAATTAATACATTCTTAGAATTTGCATATTCAATCTCCAGTGTTTCTAAAAAAGGTACAGATTTGTGTATGTGGGYGAGGCAGGTTTGTCTGTTATTTCTTTGGGGTGCTGGGGTTTTCAGATTTTCAGTTTTGTGTTTCCGGCTCAATAGGGAGAATAAGATGGATGCATTGGGGAGTTTAATATGCTCTTTCCACATAAATAATTTGGGCATAAACCAAGTCTTCAATCTTTCTTATAAAGATGTTTTCTCTTTAGTGGATGGGTAGGGAATGTAGGGATACAAAGTTCTTGTCAGGAGCTCAACTCACCCTTGAGTCTGCATCAGCTTTGGAAAACATTTACATCTGCAGTTTGGGTAAATCCTCTGCTCTTCAGAGGTTGGTTTGGGTTTGTTTATTTTATTTTTAGGGTATTTATATGCCTCCTTTTATGTTTTCATTGTTTTGTTCTACCTCTGGCATGCACACAAGGAGAGATTTATCCAAATAACATCATCATATGAATTTTGTGTTTAAAATCATTAATGTGAGATTTGTAAAGTCACTGGTTTTTGTTTTTTTTTTTTTTTCTGCATAGGAGCTCAAGCTTTCCATGCTGCTCTGCAGGTATTCAACATTTGACTTATTAAAACCAACCCCAAACCTGCCCCAGTGCTGGAGCCTGTGAGAGTGGCAGGGTCTGAGTGTCTGAAATTGCCATCTCTTTGTGTAGCTCTAGAAAGCCTTCTTTAGATCTACTTTATCAAAGAAGTGAAGTGTTTGCAGCYTCAACTACTTTTTAAATCAATAAATACTTTGTTCTAGTTGTTTTGCCACTCAGCTAAATGTGAGGTGTTTCCTGGGGCAGTGTGCCCCAGTGAAGATTCACCTTTGAATATTCTGTACRAATTGTAATTGAAGTACTTGAGCAGAATATGAAAACTGGCTTTATGGAAGAATTATCCTGAAAAAAAAATAGTACATGTGTTCAGAATGTGTTGATTTGGTAAACAAGGTACACCTTAGCAGTGGGCTGCAGTTTTCCAGAAAGGTGTTGGAATATTCTGGGCAGTTAGAAAAAGAAGCAGARGTAAAAAGTGCAGGTATTTCACAACTTTATGTTAAGAGGAAAAAGTTTTATACCACATGGAGCATCTTCAACACTGATTATTAAAAGAACCTGGTATTTAGACCTAAGAGTATTTTGAAGTTGGGCTCATTTTGTGTAATAAATGCATCTGCACTCTTGGTCGTAGTCATTCTGTGAACARTTGTTGTATTTACTTTGTCAGTGATGTGAAAAGAATCCATAATCTTTCCTTGTTGCTTGTTTGCAGAGAGCAAACCTAAACATTTGTTCCTGATTCCTCTCAATAAAAATACGTAGGGAAAGGTGCTATTGCACTGAGATTGTCTTTAACAATAAACCCYGTTTGTGATTTTGCATGAATTACAAAGATGGAAAGAAGCTTTTCCTGGCATGGATATTTTTCTTCATTGTTTAGAAGCGAGAACAAAACCCAGGGCTGGCTCAGCAATGTTCAGCTGCTGGGACAGCAGCAGT